CACTTTCAACTATATAATTAGAAAGCTCATTAACAATTAGACAAAACTATATATTTTTTATTTTATAATAATTAGTTATGATAGAATTTGTTGAAACATTTTTTATAATTTCATTAAGACTCTCTGAATAATTAAGCAAATTGAGATTTAAAGAAGAACTTCATAACGCTGAGAAACAGTAAAAGCTTTGAAAATATTTGAGTGCTGAACACGCAGAAAAATAGCTGAAATTGTCGTTAAAATTAGTATGAAAGTTTAAAAAGTTATATTTCAGCAGACATACATTGTATAGAAGAATGCGAGACATGATTCGATAGAAAAAATTCTGCTCTCTAAAATGCACTGTTTCTCAGCGTTATGAAGTTCCTCTTTAAATCTCAATTTGCTTAATTATTCAGAGAGTATTAATGAAATTATAAAAAATGTTTCAAAAAATTCTATCATAACTAGTTATTGTAAAATAAAAAATATATAGTTTTGTCTAATTGTTAATGAGCTTTCTAATTATATAGTTGAAAGTGAAAAACTATGAGAAAATATTCTATTAATTAACTAATTGACTAGGATTATTAATTATTATTGTTAAGTTATTAAAACCAATAATTAAGAAAAATATTTTATACATAAATTTAGCCCCTTCAATTCTTCATCTAATGGTATATTTTTGAAGATTTTTTCTGTTTTCAGTAACGATAAATCAACAAAATACTAAAAATGTCTAAAACTGTTGTCTATAGCGAAAAAAATATATTTCTCTGTACATTCTAAGCTAACGACCAATTTAATGCAATATAAATGAACCATGTAGACTCCAATCCTGACAATATATATAAAGATATTTATTTTTTCTTAAGTTTAAAAAAGAAATAAAAAAACAATAAGTGTCTTAATCTTTGGTGCACCACTTTAGATCATCAAGTGGTTCGATCCTTGTTTCGATCTATGTCATCATTACCTACATATGAAACATTGAAATTAAGTCAACCGAAACCTTATGTAACTCTTGTTGAGTTAAATCGAATGACGAAACTCAATGCTATGAATCAACAATTATTCGAGTAAGATATTTTTTTTGTATTAATGTATACTTACTAAAATGGTATTATTTTTTTGAGTGACTTGAAAGCATGTTTTGAACAATTAAACATTGAAAAGAGATGTCGAGTTATAGTATTGACTGGTTCTGGTAGAGCATTTAGTACTGGTAAATTCTTGCTTACTTTATTAATGAAAAGTTTTTTTGAGATATTTTCAGGTATTGATATTAAATATTTATCAAATGTTGCTGCTGAATCTGCTGAAATCGATGATATAGCACGAAAAGCATTACATGTTCGAAGTATGATACAACGAACACAAGAATCTATAAGAGCAGTTGATAAAGTAAATAAATAAAATCATAACTTCTTTCGTATATACACTTATATAAAGTTTTGATTTCTAGTGTGAAAAACCAGTAATAGCTGCTATTCATGGTTATTGTATCGGTCTGGTGTTGATCTATCAGCTTCTTGTGATATTCGTTACAGTTCACGTGATGCGACATTTTCTATCAAGGTATTAATATTTCCAAAGATTAAATAACGAATATATATGCTTGCATCTTGAGGAAGTCGACATAGGTTTAGCAGCTGATGTCGGTACTCTCCAAATTTTACCTAAATTAATTAACGATCATAGTCTCTTCCGTGAACTTGTTTTAACATCACGAACATATGATACTAACGAAGAACAACAAATTGGACTTATTAGGTAAACATCGTCATGAATATCGCAGATAACAAAATACTTCCTGAATCATTCGAAATAATACTTTAGGAAAGCCGCAGTGTTTGTGGATTTTATAAAACTACGGGGAAGACAGACCCTTGATTCGATTTTTATAAATCACTCAAATCCGAATAACGGCTTGTTCATCGAGGTTTTATGCAATCGATGAATACTGTAGCTTCTATCACCGCAATCACTGACAGTTCGTGAGGACAGAATAAATAGTTTGACTGTTGTGATTTCTTGAAAATTTTCTAATAAAACTACAGAATCAGCAGAATTGACTCAGAAAAAACAGTTAACTGCCATTTATAAAAATAATTCAACTTCCAGTCATTTTTATATCAGACACAGTTATGATAAAAAGTACATCATCTACCCTCATCTTTACATTCCTCCACACTTCGTCTATGTAAAACACAAAAATATGCTAGCAAAATATCGCACATGATATGCATCACAATCTTCACAAACTGTCATATCTAACGCTGCGGTAATTAATGAGTCTAGTTTCATGCTTTTTAATTTTTCCGAGGAAAAGAATTAATATTTCATCTACTCAGGCTTTCATTTATACAAGACTCGACAATCGGATGCTTGAATGTTTTTAAAAAAGTCAAAGATTATCTCGCGAATAACTGTTAGTCTTCCATCCATCGTCCGTAACTCGATAAATATACTCACATATTACAAATTAACTGAAATAAGAAATTATTCCGTGGACTACTTCATCTTAGATTGAATGATGAAAAATGGATATCGTTTTATTATTCCTAGCCGTGTATTTGATACTCGTGAAGCTTTACTTGATGCAGCTATATCTTTAGCAAGTGTTATTGCTTGCAAGACTCCTATAGCTGTACAAGGTTGGGTGTGGGTGTGGGTGGGTGTGTGGGTGGGTGTGGGTGTGTGTGTGTGTGTTGGCGTTGTTCTTATCGTCATCCACACCCACTCACACCCACACCCACGCCCACACCCACGCCCACACCCACACCCACGCCCACACCCACACCCACACCCACTCTCACACCCACGCTCACACCCTCGCGGTACCACACTGTAGAGTTTAACGCATTCTTCCAAATTCTTGTGTGTTTGGGCACTAGAAAAATATCTTTGTTTTAAGAATTTGGATGTAAAATTGATATCTGTTATCTATTTTCAATCATTTATAGTCAGTCATATTGAATTATACAGAATTGAAAAAAGAAATAAGCAAACAGCCATTTTTCTTATATTCATATTTTAGCTCTTTTTGTTTATACTCGTTAACTTGTATGCCTTTCTCTCTCATTCGTTGACTGCAATAATTAGTATATCTTTCTATATTGCCTTTAACAGGAAAAAAATGCACAGTGACTTTCTTCGTCATGAATTAGACGAACGGATGCTCAATATTTTCGTTGGATCGACTGAATGGAAACATCTTCTATTGGATTTTTCCAGCTTATGTGACGAAGAGAAACGAATATTTTTTTTTCTTTTCTGACATATATTAAAAAAAACAAGTGAAACAACACATTCGAACATTACATCATATGACATAAGGTGGCAGCAATGTGAATTTCGAGTAAAATGTTTTTTTCGCCTTTTTTTACACCATTTGATAGAGTGTGAGCTGCTGATTATGAAGACCTACTGTTTTTAGCCTTAGCAAATGCTTCCTTCCAGTTGAAAAATACGGTATACTCGAAAGGTGTTGTTTTTCACGACAAACACTTCTATGTATACCACTGAGAATCATACTCACACCTTTTAAACTGTTCTTTTTCAAAAAGATACGTATAAATTACTAAATATTATATGGCAAATGTATAGATCATAAGTTAATATTTCGTTTCTTTTATAACGAAATCTTCAAAAAAAAATATTATTTAGACAGTAACGTCAACAAATCATTATTGAACACAAGCACGTATTTGGTCGTTTATCACATTAAAAAAAACAAATAGTTAGTTATAACAATTGTCTTGTTAATGTCCATCTGTTGCATATAACAAACAGATAATTAAAGCCAAAGACAAAATCTTGATACTTCAACATTTATTCGACTATTAGGAAAGCGAGTTTGAGTCATTAATCGATAAGCTTCAACTTTTTCACAATGAATGTCGCCATAAATATCCAGAAAGGTAAATTCCTTTAATGCTTCGACCAGCTGACAAAGATCTTGTTCAAAAATAGCTGTATGTTGTGCTAAAAAAAATAAAATTATTTTATTTGGCTAGTTTCTCGTAAAAATTATGGTATTTCTATGTAAGTATACCGATCGATTTGGGTGTTTTCAGAGACTTGAGCCATCGTAGCATGAAATACCCATACCTGCTGCTTCTCCTTTCTCCATGATAATCCGGTTGAACTTGAATAAAGAAAAAAAAAACAATGGGATAATATTAGCTCGTGAAATAGAAGAAGGTTTTGCTCAAAAATAGTTTGTTGAATAGAATAGATCAATTTAAAAGATCTCTCTCTCTCAGTATTTTATTCAGGATTTTTTGTATGTTAAATCTCAGCTTTAGATCATGAGATCTAAATGAAACTTATTGAGCGTAATATTGGACCTAAATGATGAGCTTTTATAAAAACATTTTTGTGATTGAAGTTTGTGAAAAAAAAATAATTTTTTTTCATTTAGGTCCAATATTACGCTCAATAAGTTTCATTTAGATCTCATGCTCTAAAGCTGAGATTTAACATATTAAAAAATCTTGAATAAAACTCTGCTCTCTTTTTTAAATACACTTCTTTTTCAGAAAAAGAATCATTTCATGTTATTTTCGAATCCGAGACATGGATGTACTGAGTACTTGTACATCTCTGCTGATCAAAAAAATACCTAAAGACAGTATAGATAAGAAATTTTTTCTGCTGATATGCCTTCCTCCCTCCTTCCATCCACGTATAACAAATTGGACACCATCCTTGGAAAATTCCCGGCGAATCTCCTCCTTCAAATTAACAAATTTTCTTGAAGATGTCTTTAGAAAAGAGTCGAATTTAATGTGAATTTTCTTGTGTATATTTTTCAAACATGGTCTCATTATTCGAAATAGATCTTTGAAAAAAAAGAAACTATTTTTTAACAATCGTTTTTAGTATTAGCTCAATTCTATATTCTATAAAGGAAAAAAAATATGCTCTGGACAGAATTTGTACTTTTACTTTTGTTATTTACTCTGAATAATTTCAATTTTTGATGAGAAGATTGGAAAAAAAATATTATGAATTATTATCCATTTTTAAAAAAGTCGTTCCAGAAGAACGCTTATAACTTTTCAAGGGAAAATGATAGCGATCTGTGGTTTTCATTGTTAGATAGAGCATAGTAGAGCACGTATTACTATGACATAATCCAGCCTTCAAGTAAGGTTTACTATGGTAAACCCTCGAATATAGACTTGGCGAGATTAGCATTNGGTTTCTTCCACTTCCAAAGCTACCAAACGGGTTTCTTCCACTTCCAAAGCTACCAAATGGGCTTCTTCCACTTCCTAGGCTACCAGACGGGTTTCTTCCACTTCCAAGGCTACCAAAGGAGTTTCTTCCACTGCCAAGACTGGCCAAAGAACTACCCCCACTTCCCAGACCACTGAAGGAAGTTCCACTGCTGCCAAGACTACTAAACGGATTTCTTCCACTTCCAAGACTCCCGAAAGAACTACCACCGCTGCCTAGACCACCGAATGAAGTTCCACTGCTGCCAAGGCTACCAAATGAGTTTCTTCCACTTCCAAGACTGCCCAAAGAACTGCCCGCACTTCCCAGACCACTGAGCGAACTGCTTCCACCGAGACTACCAAAAGAGTTTCTTCCACTTCCAAGACTCCCGAAAGAACTACCGCCGCTACCTAGACCACCGAATGAAGTTCCACGCCTGCCAAGGCTACCAAAGGAGTTTCTTCCACTTCCAAGACTGCCCAAAGAACTGCCCGCACTTCCCAGACCACTGAGCGAATTGCTTCCACCGAGACTACCAAAAGAGTTTCTTCCACTGCCAAGACTGCCTAAAGAGCTACCTCCACTACCTAGACCACCGAATGAAGTTCCACTGCTGCCAAGGCTACCAAAAGAGTTTCTTCCACTGCCAAGACTGCCTAAAGAGCTATCTCCACTACCTAGACCACCGAATGAAGTTCCACTGCTGCCAAGGCTACCAAAGGAGTTTCTTCCACTGCCAAGACTGCCTAAAGAACTGCTCCCACTACCCAGACCACTGAGCGAACTGCTGCCACCGAGACTACCAAATGAGCCGCTTCCACTTCCAAGACTTCGCAGGGAATTGCCTCCACTTCCAAGGCCACCTAGTGAACTGTATCCACTGCCAAAGGTGCCATGTGAGTTACTTCTGACGGAGCACGCTTAAGAAACGTAAATTTGATGCATGTGGTAGTGAGGGACGTCATCTATTAAAAATTTCTCCCTCTTCCTTATTGAAAGATATAAATAGCATGTTTTCGGATTACGGAAATGTCTGTGAATCGGTACAATGAGAGAGATCGATGACTTTTTCTGAATTGTAGGTAGAACATCGGTAATTTTTGTCAACTTCGTGGGAATTGTGTGCTGCAGGAACAGTGAAAATGGTTTAAGAGCATTATATGATATACTCCAAGTTTATATATTGGATATCAACGTATGGTTGACATATATGAATAGGACACTTTGTTATCGGATTTAGATGTATTCATAGATGGTAAACATGAAACGTGATTTCAATTGAAGCTTCAAGTTTGAGACTACTTGTGAATTTATATTAATTTATTAAACTTCGCATTGATATTGTGAACCGTACAAGGATTCAGAATAAGCTCATGTCGTAAGTAATAAGAAGTATTAATGCTAATTTTTCACTGTATTTTCCGTGGATGAATGCTTGGCTTCTATCGAGCTCGCATACTTATTTCGCATTAGAAGGTATAATTAAAGTTTCTTGAATATTCTCTTGTGATCCGATTTTTTAGATTCTCGGGAAAGCTAGTATATCTCATGGGTCTGATGGTTCATCGTCCTCCATGGGAATTTTTAGCATGTTTGTCACTATTCTTTAAATAGGACCAATATGAGATAGTTTGATTGAAAATTAAATTTTAACGAAGCAGTAAAGATCACTGATGATGACTATATTTTATTTAAATAATCAATGGTAACGGCTCAAGAGGAAGCTGGATTTTAAGTAAATTTAAAGTATACATCATCTAACCAAATAATGTAACTGTTCAATACTTCAACTACTAACAATATAAGCAAATTTTATATGAAAAGTATACCCAGAATGAAGAAGATAAGACTCTCTAATGAAGACGAAAAAAGTCTTATAATCCATTGGACATCTAGATAGATGTAGATGAAATTATGATTGTAGACATTGTTCTTTCGTCTAGAGAAAAACCACTGGAATGGTAAAAATCTTATGAAAATTATTTCATTCTAAATACTTTTTACTTAAAGAAAATTTATGCAAATCAATGTTTGCAAGTAAACATTTTTTTCTAATATGCAACTACTATTACTTCAGCACGTAACACAAAATGTACCTGATGAAACCATCTAAACAATTAAAATGAATATCCTACATTAGTTTCTTTAAAATAATAGCAAATGAGGCATTTCTGAAAGTTATTTATGTCGAAGAACTCATGTAAACAACTTGGGGATTGTCTCATGAGCAAAAATGTTTTAGAGAAAAGATAATTGACAATACAAATAATATAATTTCTATATTCTCCTTATTACCTGTGATAAGTATTAATATTAATTTTAAAAGTGTGCACTCAAGTTCCATGAGTTGTTAATGAATCACAGTTGAGAGAAATGCACTTCGACCTTTTTTCTATGAAAGTTTAACAAAGAAAGTAAAACTTGTATCTTATATAGTTGAAAGTGTTTTTCAATTTTGTTTACTAATATCATGGTATTAAATATCTTATAGCGTCGGCATTCCCATCAAATATTTCTTATCTCAATAGCATTTGGAATGAATCAAGAAATATTTTATGAGTATACAGACGCTATAAGAAATATAATGCCACGAGATAAGTAAATAACATCATATGTTATATATTTGAATATGCTTTTTACTTCAATTTTGTTTACTAATCTCATAGTATTATGTTTCTTGTTGATTCAGTATGCCCATCAAATATTTCTTGATTCATTCCAACTGCTATTGAGATAAGAAAGAAATTTATAATGGATATTTTTGTTTTTTCCGTTTTACTTTGTTTTGAATCAAAAAATGACTTGACGTTAGCATGTCTGTATTTTGCCTTTTTATTCTATCAATATAGTTGGTCCTTACAATACACACAAGATACAATAGTCAAATATTATAGTAATTTGTATATAGAAAAGATGATAGTATAGCTTCCATATGTTAGAAAATTGATTTATATATTTAATAGACTTGAATTTACACTGTCATTAAATAAGCTCACTATGAGTTCACTGTGTAACAAATTCTTATGATTTTATTATCAGTGAATTATTCGTCTGTATTCTCTTCAACACGTGTCAGTGATGAGAAACTAAGCAGAAATTCAATCAAAGAAAAGCAGTATACTGATTAGAGAAGAAACATTTTTCGTCTTTCATTATTGTGCTTATTATAATAATAGTATTGGTGATTCAAATGAAATTCATTCAACCATCAATACTACTATTACTTGAGGGTGTGAGGTGCGGTACAGCTTTCCAGAAGTTCTATACGTGCTCTCACATCCTAACCCGTGCCCATTCTGGCAGACTCTGGAAAAAAAATATAGAAAATGAGCGTATAAAGAAGTCACAAGTTGTACTAGATTGCAGCGAAGGAAAAATATTTAATGATTTATCAGATCAACTATCAGCATACTATACATGTCGCAGGTGGTCAACAAAATAATACTGATGGTGACATTTGAACGGATTTTTGAGACAGTAGTAGCTAATAGCTATTTGATATAGAAGGAAAACTATGCCACAACTAAAGTTATGATTCTGCAGTTTCGCGAAACTTTTGTCCAATCTCTACCGTTTAGCATGCAATTCGGAAATGGAAACCTGATCCGGGAAAAAACTTAAGCAACCATTCAGAGTCTAAACTCATCGATCACAAGCCCAAAGAAAAAGAAGGATCTTCGCGCACTATCCACAGGCGCTGTAGTGATTGTTATCAGAAAATTAGGCAAGAAAAATCACTGGAAGCAAGTGCGATAAGAGCAATAAGAACTAAAATGTACTGCTCTGATTGCGAAAATTTCTTTTGTTTTGCTTGCTTTATTGAGAAGCAATTATCTATGCATTAAAGAATCCAGATGATGGCGGAAGCGGAGTGAGTGAGGGATATGCCTCACTGACTTATTTAGAAAAAGAACAAGAAACTGCTTTCTATTATTTTCCTTGGTAAAATATGGTGTGAGCTACCGTTTGCTCACGTCAGGTTGAATGTGTTAAAGAGATAATTGATTAAAACCATATCATATGAGACATTTCGTTCTTGCTTAACCCTTTACCCCCCAAGAGGGTTCCTCAACGTTTTGATATGAAACCACCATTGATATCAACACTGTTAGTCATCAGTATGTTTATGTTATAAAGGAAAAAAAAATTAGTTGTACCTGATTGGTACTATACAATGTTCACTGGAGTGGACATTGGGGGGGGGGGGGGGGAGAGACATGAATTCGACCTACTTTCCTCAGATATTGTCGTTGTTATCCTTAAGCCATAGGTAACATAATCTTATTATCTACAACGAAAAATACAAAAGAAAAGAATATATATGTTATATATCTGAAGTTTTATTCACAAAATACAAAAAAAAGTTATAACAGGAAAAATGTGTCCGATAAGTTTCAACTATTGACATGATATTCATTAAAACAATTACGTTGAGATGTTAAACATAAATGTACATCACATTTTGGGCAATACCAGTACGTCTTTTGTTTGCATTTTTCGTTCTTGCATCTACTTGCATTTTTAGCTTCAATAAATTTTGGGAAATGATTGTTTCCATCAAAACGTAATGTTTTTTCAACAGCTGATTTATATTCACGTTTTAGTTTTTTAGGTGGATTATTTTCGTCATTATAATCATCATTCGATGATAGAATAGGCAAGCTTTGCTTTTTAACTGTTGATGATGATAATGTAGCAAATTGTATTTGCAGCAGTTGTGGTTTTTGCAAAAGAAATTTTGCAACTTCAGTTTTAAAATGAAATAAACGGAATTTTCTCCAATTACCAGGACCATTGATTTCTTTACGAGTACCACGAATTTGATTTAATAATATCCAAGAATTTATAATAATCAAATCAAAAATGCGCCAGATAATTCTGGTATACCATTTCTTGGAGCGAAAAGGTATAGGATGTAATGAGATCATCATATCCAGGGTGTCTACTCCACCCATATATTTATTGTAATATGTGACGATTTGTGGTGCCTTAACTTGTACATGATTTCCTTCATTTTTATTCCATCGCTTTATCATAAACAGTGGTTCTTCACCCACACAGTTAGAACCTAATAACACCCGCTTGTTGTCTTTCCAAGCTACGATAATGCATCGTTCATCATCAGATAAATATGATTCATAATAACCACGTGGTTTTTTCTTCATTAATTTGTCTGATGGTACAGGGCATTGACTAATACGATTCGAGCGTAATGTGCACGTAAAACCATAACCAAGATCAGTCATTTTTTGGATAAGTCGAAATGATGAAAAATAATTGTCAACAAATATACGTGAACCAATTGGTATATGTTTTAAAAAATCTAATACAACAACACCAGATAAGCCATATTCTTTAACATTTGTTTGTCGTTGTTCAATTTCGTCATTATTATTCGTAGTTGTTGTTGAACGTAATGTTCGGTTTAAAGATGTAGTTGGATTTTTATTTAAAATAATTTCTTTTGAACCACGGTAAAGCTTCATTTCATAGACAAATCCTGAAACACCACATTTTGCCCATACTTTAAAACCTCGTTTAGTTGGTTTGTTGGGCATATATTGTCTGAAAGATTTAGGTGCTGTTTTGCCCTTGTATCCGATCATTTGTTCATCGATTGAAATATAAGCTTCCGGTTCAGCAACAATACGACAACGTTCATTGAATAAATTAATTAATGGTTCGATCTTTTCACCTTTATCTAATTCAGTTGTATTATCATTTAAATGTAATATCGATAACAAATAATCAATACGATTTCTCGTAATTGAATCGGCAACAATTGGTTGACGACAATAACTAGTCCAATAATCTGATTTACTTGGTAAAGGCACAGTTGAAGAATAATATAAAAAACCGAGTAAAGAATAAAAATCATCTTCAGTCATTGGACTTTGTTGTGTTAAATTATTTTGAGTTCTGTATAAATTCGACTGATCAACAATATAAGTTGCTATTTCTGGTGTAAGAAATAAACGAAATATATCAATTGATGTTGGATGTTTTGGAAAAGTTGATGAAATATGGTTTGATAAACGTAAAGTTCCATTATAATCAAATGAATCAGGTTTCCATGATGTTCCTGACCACAATTCAATATCTGAAGCATCTGTTGTATGACCATCACTATCATCTTGTTCATCATCTGATTTATTGGATGTATCAGATCCTGTTGCAATAACAGCACTTTCAGATTTCATATCATCTTCATCACTATCATCGTAATCATCATCATCATCATTATAATCACTAGAATTCACATCAACGTCTGAAGTACCGGACGTATAGTGTATTTCATCATCTTCACCCACAGAATAATTATCATCGTAATATGCCATGTTATCTGAAAGATGAAATTTTAGATGAGAATGATTAAAACTGCCCCGAAAGACATTGAATTACAAGAAAATATACATATATAACGGATTGTACAGTTAAAAAAAAATATTTTAATTATTTTAAATCCATTTGAACTTTTGATTCCGAATTTCTAAAAAGGGAAGTCTGATCTTTAGATAACAACAGGATAAGTTTAGAAATGACGACAATATATCGTACATCAAAGGACATATAACACTTTTCTTTCGTTATTTCATAAAACAATGTGATTTACCAAGCACCAATCGAATGCAAACAAATATATTGATGCGAAAAATAAAAAAATATCAAGATGAACTGCTCTTTCCTACTCAGACCCACTTAGTTGCTAGTAAACAAATTATAGAATGTTCTAAAATATCTTTGATATATTTTTATTTGAATAAATTTAGTTTATAGAAAATAATCATTTTCATGTCACTCCCCTCCAATGTCCACTGGAATGGACATTACAGTCCCATCACTATTTTAATCTAGCTATTCACTTATATTTTTTATAAAGTACTTTGGGTAGTTACCGAGTCCTTAGTGGATAAGTATTAGTTTTAAGATCAGAAAAAAATTCAAAGCACAGAACTAGGCGCAATAATCTTGGAAAAAATACAGACCATCAGAAAATATTAAATTTATATTTTAAATATCTCAACTAAAAGCCACATAAAAAGGGATATTCTTTTGACAATCGAGAGCTCATGAAGTCCTTCATAAACAACGTGAAGTCTGCTTTAGACCAATTGAGCTAATTTTATTTAATAGTGATTCTGTCAATGTCCATCCCAATGGACATTGGGGGGTAAAGGGTTAAGGAACTCAGGAGGTATGTTTAGTATCAGCTGCATAGAATGACAAAGTCAAACTATAATATCAAGTAAGTACCAAAATTCTAAAGAATATGATTCAAAATAAAAATATTTAAATTAAAATCGTTGTTACTCTCGATAAATAGAGAAATCTTAATAGAAAATAAAAGTTCGAAAGCATCGTACGACGATCGTTTCACCCCTGCTTAAAGATCTTCATCAGATGGCTTTAACTTTGCTATATTTTTTCCAATCGATCAAATCCTATAAAAGAAACTCAGTCAAAAACAAAATATAACAATCCATCAAATGTCAAATAACTCAAATCGAATTAAAATTATACGAAAGTAGTAGATACCAATTCATAATCAGAGGGAGTAAAGTATGCCACGATCCAGATTTAGATCTTACTTGGGGATCTTTAGCAGAAGGTTATAACTTTGCAACTATTAAAATCGTCCTGATATCGAAGATAAGTTTCATGATCTATATGAAAACCGGCAAAGTCTCAGGGGAATCTAAACAGTAGTCAACACGACGCGTCTAAATCTAATTATGGATTTTATCAGGTTAAATAAACCTGCAAATAATTTGAATTTTTTGAATCACGAGACTTCAAGAAGTCTCTAAATATGAAAAGGCTCAAAAACTTTGTTAATTTTGAACGTAGACTGGTTTGTTTTAATGGGTTCAGGCAAGTTTAGTATTTTGGTTTTTTTGCGTTGGATCAGACAACAGTATTAAGCAAACTTAATTGTTTTATTAACAACAATAGCGTTCTTTTAGCCTATTGAGGAAGCGTCTTTTGTTTCACGTTATTTTATTTGTGATTTTCTTGGTTGAGTTATTGAAGAAAAACATAATGATGCAGCGGAATTGGTGCAATAACATATCCTGAGTGGAAAAGGATCGTAAGTGTTAGTTAGAGAGTCAGACTTCTAGCTTCGTTATATATACGTTGGAATATGGAAAAGAAATACAGTGCTAAATAGGTGATTATAATGGTAGCGAGAAAAACCCAATAAAGATAATTATTTTTGTTTAGTTAGTTTTTAATCGTGAATTTCTTTTTAGTTGTTGTCATTCATGACTGTTTCAGCATGTTTTGCTTGTTTAATTCACTTTGACGTATGACGATAAGTTTTTTTCAGTGACGTATTTTATCCTCCGAATCATGCATATAATCAACGATCCTCAATAGCATTAGTAATCGCCACCAGGTGGATCGACTGATACTTGTCTTTGCGAGGGTTCAATGCAATTTTTTTCATGCTGCTGCTTTTTATCGTCTAGTAACGATACTTTATTGAATAATATCATGTTCCAACTGTTGCATTTTGTTAAACGGATTTGATAATGAGGTGCTTAATGAACTTTCCCTATTAGAGTTGTCTGTTTGTGCAGATATCGTATCAGTATTATCTATCATACGATCGAGAATAGTATATAGCAGCTGTATTTTTTTAAATATAAGGCGATGTTCTAGTATAGCAACATATTCGTCCATTATTGTTTTCTGTACTATAGTTCGTCAGAGGTGTCTTGCTGAAGTAATCTATGAAAGAATAAAAATTGTGGATACATTGAAAGTAAAAGAGAAATAGTGGAATAAATCTGTTGTAATCTGTCATTTCTTTGGCATTAAATAAAAAACAATGAGTTTGAATTGTATGTATAGTACAAGAAAGTAGAAGAATTTCGAAAAAGTATCTCTAGTAACATTTCATATGCGCACGAAATCATGTTCGTATAAATAATTTGGATATACTCACAACTGACATGCTCTACTCAATACAAAATAGTGAATAAAAAGTGATTATAAGACCAGAACAGAAATTGAGCCTGCATCTTCCGATCACTAACCGAATGTTCTACTATTTAAATTTTCCAATTTCTCTGATCGTTAAATGATTGTATATCCGAACATAAAATATTGAAGTCATGATTATGATGTACTTGAATATATTTGAGTTTGAGTGCCGCCAAGTGTTATACATATGTTCAATTCACCTCGTATAGTGGCCGATTTCGCTGAAATTGTGTTCTATTTTTCTGATTCTCAAACGGAAATTGTGATTTGTTTTTTTCTCGTCTCATTCATGACTAGTATCACATTACTTATTAAAAGATAACCATGTTAGTTCCCTTTTTGTTATCGATCGCAGCTATGTTTAAAATGTCTTTCTATTGTCTATCGTATGCAAAATGTAATAGATACGTATCTTAAAGTGGGGAAAGACCCAAACATAGATATCTGAAGTAAAAGAAAAGGCTTGACCGTATATAAAAAGATGATTACCATTTATTCTTTCAAGTTTTTTCAGAAAAAATATCTACTAACACACAGTTGCAGTAGTGTCAAACTTGAAAGTTGAATTCAAGTATTTTTTCAACTATTTCAAGTATTTCAACTCTTTCAACTATTCATACGTGGTGAAAGTCCTTTCGCGGCACCCTCACCAGCGACGTTTGTGTGTGCGTGTAGCTCGTGTGAGTCATATGTGGTTGGAATCGTTGAAGTTGAAATACTTGAAATAGTTGAAATACTTGAATTAAAGTTTCAAGTATTACATGTATGGAAATAGTTAATTTTTGTCTTTCATTTGTATGTTTGTTATTGTTTTTCTCTCTTTTCTCCACTCTGATTTGTTGTATAAAAATTGAAAATCCATGTCCTTTTTAGTCATAGGTTTTTCCATCACACTCAATGTTGCATGTTCATGCAATATTATATGTTATAGATCAAAATTTAGAATTTTTTTTTCGAAGGATTTTCAAGAATTCATAATCTTCGACATTTAAGCTACTTTCTCGATCAGAAAACATAATAATCATTCTCTATGATCAGAAAATAGTAGGAAAGTTACACTTTTATTATCCCTTTGTCTCTCTCTTGTTTGATAGATATATAAAATGAAAATGCATCATTCCATGAATATCAGCTTGATAACAAAATTTTATTTATTGTTTCATAGACAATGGCAAATACTGCTGACGAATTATCTCCATCGAACTTGGTTAACGATGTTCAATCAAAAGAGCAAACTGTAGAAAATATTGTTTCTACGGAGCCACCTCCTTATGAACCAAGATTAAACAACGCAAACACTTTTCCTAAAGTGTATTATCAATCTCAAATAGGGTCGAGAGACAATACTGAATGTACACAAGGGTTCGTCAACACGCAATCAACTCCAACTCAATATCTAGACCAGATAAAAACTCATATAGTTTGGTCTGTTTTTAATATAATTTTCTGTTGCTCATGTCTTGGATGCCTGGGTTGTTTCTATGCCAAAAAGACTCAACGTTTGAAAGAACAAAACGATATTCATGGTGCATTGAAGGCTTCAAAGCAAGCTCTAAAGTGGAATATTATCGGCACAATACTTGGTATAATCCTCATATCAATTCATTTGATTATTAAATTGCCCTACCGATGATTATTATTAATCTATTTAACCATGTCACTATTTTCTATTATTTAATCATGACTCTTTTTCATTTATTGATATTAATAAATAATAATAAAGGGTAATTGAAAAGTTTTCAACCTTCTCAGTAAATTTATGATATCTATGACAAACCTATATATGGCTAATTAATCGAAATATGTATTTTTATAGAGGAAGATTAGAATTATCATCTAAAAAATAGATATTTCGAAAAGCATAAATGTAATATAGTCTTATGGTCAGTTTACTAATCTTGGGTGAATATTTTCATGTGAAATTTTTTTTTAGAAAATTTTTTCAAAAAAAACTATAATAGTTTTATGTTATTTGTTTTCACAGGAGATTTTTATTAGATTTCTCATTTCAATGGAGTAATAGTCTTATGTTATGAAGTTTACCTTTTCCATTTTATCGTCTCATATGTCAAATACTTAGATTTATCTTTTCGAGTTTTATTGGAAAAATTCAGTGTTCATTATATAAGTTAATAGATAATTTGTGGAATGACATTCGACAAGATTTAAGTCAATATGAATTTAATTTATTACACTATATGAAACGAAAAATTGTTGATCTAGGGAAAAATTTTACTGTAAAAAAAATGTGAGCAAGTGATTGATAGTTCTCCAAAGAAGATCAAAAGTATCCATGCAAAAGTGAGGTTAATGTAGGATAAAATGTGATTATTAATATTACTACATAAGGTCAATCTGATTAACTCATAAATTATCTAAAAATTTTATTAAGAACCTTGTTTTTTTTAATTTTTCTCAAAAAGTGTAAGATAACAACGTTTACTCAAGATCAGTAATGTCACCATAAGATTGCACTGCATTTATGCATTTCGAAGTATCTTTTTTCAAAGGATAACTCTAATCTTTCTCTCCCAAAAATACGTATTTCGATCAACTAACCATATATAGGCTTTGTCATAGATATTATCGATTTACTGGAAGGGGTCAAAACTTGTTGACCACCCTTTATATATTCTAATTATTCTATATGAATAAAGGAAATAGAACTTGTGATTAAAATTTTAATTTTCGACATAAGTTTATTAAAAACTATCTGTAGAATGCTTACTAAATAGTCGACTCCATCGTTGATTATATTGATTATTATTCATAAAGATTTCTTCTCATTCATCAATAAGATCTTTTAGCAATATTTTATTTCATGTTGACAATTTTTCAAAAGATTGATTTCCTTCTCCGATGTTTAATAATATTCTTCGATAGTTTCGTATACAGTTATATCAAAACCAATATATTTAAATCGTTGTATTCTCCGTTTAATATAATCTTGAGTTTATGGATAACGAATAGATGGAAATCGATGGTGATTTCAAATTTCAGATGCTCTGCACTTGTGTTAGATTATTCTTGAAATGAATTCTCAACATCAAATATACGATAATACGTCTTCATTGATTCATTACTTATGACAAACAATATCTTATTTTAATTTATGCAGAAATATAAAATGTGAGTAAATGACCTTGAGGATGATAATGTCGAATATGTCACAAAATATAGAAAACAAAAAATCAAGAAATGGAAAAAATTAGAAAAAAATCTAAAAACATCTAAATCTAGAAACATAAAATTTAGAAAAGCTCAAATCCAGAAAAAGAGGGTGTGGGTGTGATTGTGACTTTTCTAAGAGTAAAGAGACACACTCATCCCAACCCTCACATCCACCCACACACCCACACCCACACCCACACACCCACACCCACACCCACACCCACACCCACACCCACACCCCCACCCACACCCACACCCACACCCNATTTTGCAGTCATATGCCGCAACACATTCAATACATAATTGCAAGTCAAGGGAAAAATATATACGATGATAGAGAATTTCAAGCTCTATCAGAATATACAATTACTTTTTTCAAAAGGTGATTCTATAGTGATGAAAAATTTTAAAAACTGGTTTTGGCGACAGTGACAAAATCAAGCCTGTGGGAATCTGGACATGAGGGTGTCTTCATTATACTCAATTTTTTTTTGGTAATACATATATTCAAACGAAATGGCAAATATACAGGTTGATAGAAAACTCCATGCGCTATCAGAATGTATCATTATTTTTTTTAAAATACACTGCTGTGATAACGATATTCCCAAAATACAGACTGCAGCTTATTTTTTCCAGGCGTGTATATCTTCATTCAGATATATATCTATATGAATGAAGATCGAGATTGTTTTTTGAGATACTTCGTTTTGAATAATACTAGCATATCAGGCCTTTGATTTCCTACCATATCGATACATAAGATTTGTACGTCGCCACAATTCTTAGCAATGTAAATGGCATTGTCACCTATCCCACAACCTATATCAAGTATATTGCCATGGAAAATGCCACGCTTAACAAGTTCTTTGATGACTGGTTGAGGTCGATTCAGTTCCCAAGGAGCATTGTTCGAGCCCGATACGTTGAAAAAAAATTCTGGTGGAGGTGCTGAGTCTGCCATTATTATATTTATTTCTAATTGAAATAAATAACTTTGATTGAATGATTATTTATACTACTAATTTTGGTCCGTCAGAATGACTAAGCAAAACGCGAAGGACGAACATAAAAGTATAAAGTAATCAACCACATGCGACAGTGTACTTTACTCTGGATGCCTTGTTTGTCTCTCCTCTACTTGAAGGTTACAATATTTACGAAACGTCACATGTGCAGAAGAAAAAATATTGAAAATATTAATGTAACCAAGCATCAATATGCAAATGAAATGCAAACTAACCTAAAAGTCAGCGTACCGAGAAAATATTGATTCTCTGTGTTGTGGCTGAAGTAAATGAACTGATTCTTCTATCAACAATAAATACATGTTCACATTCCACATGCATAAACAAAAGACTAGAGAGAACCTGTTTTGAGTATCGCTATTGACTTCAACAAAAAACAACTTTTTTACAGATCTTTTTTTATTTTGCTCCTAAATATAACACTCAGAAGCGCTTACATGATAATATAAAGAAAAATGAAGATATTTAAGCACTAAGCAACAACATAGGTGCAATGTGTTTCATTGTTACCACTAATATCTTTATATCGAGTATCAACCCAGTTGCTAGGGGTGTTAAAACAGTAAATAAAGAAACAGAAAAAAAAAGGAAAAAGAAAAAGGAGAATGAAACGAAAAAAAAGATGACATTCAAAAAGAGATGAGGCAAATGTGAGCGAGAAGAGAAAAGAAAGTGAAGCGAAAGCGAAGGACGATGTGCGTATGCATTTCAAAGCCAGAATAAAAAAGAAAAATGGGAAAAGAAAGGAAGGTATAGAGATTTTGCAAGTGCTATTCTTTGTACTTAGGGCAGTCCAAAAGTAGTGGCGGAGGTTCATTTTTTTCTTATAGAAAGCTTGAAAAAATTTTCCTCTTTTATGAACAGATAGAACGTCTTTCGCTCTATTTTTCTATGCTATTTGATCACTATTCAACTAATATCATAATAATAAGATTTCGATAAGAACTGTTTTTGTCAAAAACTACCTGGTAGCATTTAGGTCATTATGAGTGTGGCATAAAAAATGGAGCGCTTTTGCATTTCATTTTATCATCACTTAATACGTTGTATTAAAAAACAAAATATACTACAAGATGCAACGTGAAAAGCTCTACAATTTATAAAGGACTGCTTATTTTAGAGTTGCACTTTTTGTTTTCAAAATAGACAAAACTCTGAGCGACCAAATTTCGACGTTGCGAAAACCAGATGGTTTTTTGGTAAAAGACGAATTCGATTTTTTCTATCTCATCTTTTATAATTGCTCTCTGTAAATTGTAGAGCTTTTCACGCTGCATCTTGCAGTGTATTTTGTTTGTTAATACAATGTACTAAGTGATAATAAAGTGGAATGCAAAAGTGCCACATCCATAATGATCTAATGCTACCAGCTAATTTTCAACAAAAACAGTTCTTATCGAAATTTTATTATTATGATATTAGTTGAATAGTGATCAAATAGCATAGAAAAATAGAGCGAAAGACGCTCTATCTGTTCATAAAAAAGGAAAATTTTTCCAAGTTTCAATAAGAAAAAAAAGAACCTCCGCCACTACTTTTGGACTGCCCTAAGTATAATGAATTTTGCTGATTATTTAAATAAATATGATTCATCTGAAGCTTGTACTACTTATATAAAAAAGTTTAAAAGTGAACGTAAAATTCTTCTTGTATTAATGATAGATTTAGAATATTTATCGGTTTTTGAAGAATTATCTCAAATTCAAGCAATTTATGTCTTAAAGAAACAAGATGAAAATATTGAATTTAATGAACAAGATCATAAAAAACTAGTTCATCTATTTCAAAATGTAGATGAATTAATCGATCGATTACGTAAAGATATATTATTAACTTATAGAAGTGATTTACCAATAAGTATATCTTCTCTGCAGGAAAATAATATAGAACAATCATTAACGAGTTTACATGGAAATAGTTTAACAATTTTATGGAATCAATATTTTCTTTATTATTTAATTAAATCTCCAAATATCAATATGGATAATATGAAAAAAACTATGTTAGATCAATGTAGATTTGAATTTAAAAATAATAAAGTTGAATTAGAAAAAATTGGTGATTTTGATCAACATTGTTCAGAAGAAAATATTTTAAAATGGTATACAAAAGATTCGTTCTTATATAGACTTTTAAATAAAGCATTTCGTACAAGAAATATTGATTTTATTTGTCAATTTCAATATTTTTTAATAGGTTTATATAATGTATTTCAAAAATTATCAAAAGAACAAAATGAAGAATATCCTTTAACTGCTTATCGAGGACAAATTCTCAATAAAAATTATCTGGAACGATTAAAATCAAATGTTGGACGTTTTATTTCAATGAATATAATGATGTCAACATCACGTTTTGAAGATATTGCTCGTTTATTCTTTCTTGATGCTTCATTAAGTGCTTTATTTAAAATTAAAATTAAAGATGCATCCGATGATAGATTCCGACCATTTATCGATATTTCTGAATTAATTTCAATGCCTGACGAACAGGAAATTTTATTTTTTGTTGGAAGTATTTTTTCTATTGATTCTGTTGAACAAGAAAATGAATCAACATGGATTATCGAACTAACTTTAAACAATACAATATACAAACATATCGAAAATTTTATTATTGATTTTGAAAAACATATACGCGATTTTAAAAATAAACATGATTTATTTATGAAAACAGATGATTTCAATATGATCAAAGAATATTATAATATGTTAACAGGAAAAGAATTCTCTTTAAATAATTTACCTATCAATATGACATATATTTATGTTGCTTTTATGTTTAGTAATTTAGGATGTTATGAAAAAGCAATTGAACTATATAAAAACTATCTTCTCATAGACAATATTTCTATTGGTAGTCCTCAATCAAAAGTTATTCATATTATTATTGGTTATCTTTATTATAATTCTTGCGATTATGATAAAGCTTTTCTTCATTATGGTATTACATTATCATTATTAGATGAAACAAATTTATTAACAAATAAACTATACAATCATATTGGTGATGTTTGGAAAAAATTGAATAATGTCAATAATGCAATATCATATTATTAACAAGCAATAAATATCAGAAAACTAAATCGCATTTTCAAATTTGATAATCATCAGAAAATAATTTTGAAAAAGAAAGATTTAATTGATGAAAATAATTTTACATCATTTCAACTTATTGATTTCTTATATCAAAATGGTTTACGTTTAACAAGAGAAGGCAATTATCTTCAAGCTTTAGAAATCTTTTTAAAAATCAAAGAGATAATTATTAAGAAGAAACTAGATGATGAAAATACTCCTACATTGATTCAATCCATTGATTTATCATATCAAATTGGTTTATGTTTAATGAAAAAAGGTGATTTTTCTCAAGCTTTGAATAGCCTTTTATAAGCAGAACGGACTATTATTAGAAACCCTCCATTATGGAATCGATTTCCTCAATTACTTTCAACACTTTATGACAATATTGCGATACTTTATTTTTTACTAGATAATCCTTTAAAAGCAATAATTGTGTGGAAGAAATCTATTGACATGACAATAAACTTTTCTTATAACTAACTGTGATATATACTGAAAATAATAGAAGATTCGTGTTGAAGATACTTAATTTTCGTATAAAAAAGTTTTTCTATGTAGTAATAGTGAAAACAATATTGTACTTCTGTAGGATGTGGGTGTGGATGTGGATTTAATTCAAGATAAGATCTATACCCACAACCTATTTTTGTTTCTCAACTATTTATTATTTTGTTTATTTCTTAGATAATACTCACATTGTTGCACTACGAAAGTTACCTCGAGATATCTATTACCTTTAGCTGGTGTTTTCAGGAATTCCAAGAATTCCTAAAACTTAATTCTTGGATACTGCTTAAATAATTACAAAAGACAAGACGCTTCCATCAGAACAGATCTATTGTTTTTCTTTTGAGTTATTCAAGGGATGGAACTTTTTAAATCCAAAAACGCTTTACTTATCACAAAAAGCTTCCAGTTACCAAATCAGTTATTATAGACTTCTGTTTATCAAAAATTTTCCAAAAACGTGTGATAGAAGATTGAAAAATTTCAATGATTTAAATGCATCAAGCCTAAAATCGATTATCGAAAGGTAACTTCGTTTTATCACTCATAGTGAAAAGGAACTAAATAGCAAAATGAAAAAAAAACAGAAAAATATCAAAAGTGTTACAAACTGAAAAACTTTTGATCTGTTCTAAAGAAAAAATAGCTCATAAAAGTCACCCTGTTGTTCACTTAAGAATGTATGTGTTCTTGAGATCCTTATATGTATACACGTATATAACAGCAAAACGTGATCACATACTCATATACATAGCCTAACTTAAAACGCTTTCAAATCGATGCAATAATACAAGAATAAATACTTGAAAATATTTAGAATGATTGTCTTTCATAGTTGCATCAAATGCAATAGCAGAAAATGGATTAAAATATGTTCGCATAAATTATTTTTAATATATTTAAATTGCAAATATAAATTTTCTTTCATTTAATAGAAAAATTTGACTAAAAAAAAATGTAATATTTCAGGTTGTATGCTATCTTGAACGAACATGAAAAGTTCATCTNTTCAAGACAGGGAACGTTACCACAACAAGTAGAGGATTTGCTCATAGTTTCTAAACTACAATTCCTTGTTTTTTTTTGTATTTGTCGAACTTATTTGTCTAAATTATTAGATATCTCAAATGTTAGTATTTTTTTGATTAATTTAATTAGTGTAAATTTTGCTTTTACGCTCAAGATTTAGCGCCTGTGTTTAACAAAAAGCCTTCGTTTTTTTTTGTAATAAAAATTTCGACCAATTTTCTCTTCGATTAATTGTCGTATAGCCTAATTTTCGCGTCGACCAATTATCGTATCGCCCAATTATCGACGACCAATTTTCGTTCGACCATTTTTCTTTCGACCAATTTTCGTAAACCCGAAAGACCATATTGATCTTGTATGAAAAATCAAACATAAAGATTCAAATATTGAAATATGAATATAATTCTTCAATCTTTTGCCAATAATTTCGAAAGAATTTCACAAGAATACTTTCTTTTTTACATACATTGCAATCTTAAGTTTTAAATGCTCAGATTCACCGTAAGAGAAAAATAGACTAAATAAGGCTTTTAATGTTAATTTCTTTTCACATAATGAAAATATGATGTAATGTATCTAACATAGTACAACACATAAATCTCGCGATATATTAAGAGCAACTGTCAAATTCAGAATAAAAAATTTTCGCACAGCTTATTGACTAGGTACTTATCAACACTGTGTCAGTTCACATATGATGTTGTTTTGTTCTATTCTTTCAAGTGTTATGTATTGTACTAAATATGATACTGTTATGATTTATTTGTGGATATAAGATAATGCAACAAAGAAAACAAATGTCAAATGACTGTTTGCAGTCAATAAACGAATTATTTCGCGGATTTATGACATAGTATAAAATAAAATTTGATGAAAAACAAAATATTCTTATCAACTTCTCTCATTAGATTTCTCATAGTTAATTCTTACCGGTCCATTCTCAAGATGTGGTATTTGTGTTGGATCATTTTGTAGATTAATTGATGAACGAAGAATAGGTAAAAATTTCGGAATAGCTGCTAATTTATTTAAATCACTATCATCGGATACAGATGAACTTGATGCTGTTGCACTCGAACCACTTGCAGTTATTGGACCAGAATTAACAACAGTTATATTTGGATGATAGACTGGTGCTACAGAAGATATTCAATCAGAAAAAAACCAAACATTTCTAACGCTTGTATTTTACTTTTCGGAGTTGTTGGTATATTCGAAACAGTTCCTGTCGATTGTTCATTTCCCATAATTAAAAAAAAAAAGTAATCTAAAATGAGTAAAATCTATCGAAAGTTTAATCACTTTTTTTTTATTATTCTGAAACTATCGTTTTAGATTGATAAGATTAGTTGCTTTTTTTTGTTTGTAGTTCTTCTTGTTTCGGTTTATTTCTCCTTATTAAATGTTTTATGAAAAACAAAAACAGATTAGAAAGCACACAACGTTTGCTATATAAAAACAAAAACGAGGCGGCGACAATGTGAACAAATTATAATTTGTTTAACGTTGAGTGCCTTTTTTTGGGCCCATCTTTGGTAAATTCTTTTGAATTTTTTCTGGTTTTTTTACTGGTTTACCAGCCTAAATAATAAAAAATGATTTATAAAATTAAAAAAAACTAAAGTTTAGATTATTAATTAATTTACTTTAACATTAGCAGCTTGTACTACTTTTTTCTGTTGAGCTTTAGCTTTTTTAGCTTGTTTCGCCGCACTATAAAAAAAAAGAATTTGTTTTTTTTTTTTGTTTAAGAAAAAAAATAAAATAAATTATTTAATTTTACTTGATAGCATCTTGTCGTTGAGCCTTTCGAAATTCTGGTTGTTGATTACGTTTAGCAAGAATTTCATTCCATGTAACGCCAGTTATAGCACGTTGAAATTTAATATTACGACGTGTACGTTTTTTAACTTCTTGTTCAGCAGCACCTTTCTTATGTTTTCGTCGATAATAAACAGTCCATGTAACACGACGAGGATTTCGACGCATATCTGCTGATCGTTGACATTTGGAATTCAAGTAAATGTGTACCTAATAAAATATCAAAAGTATTTATTTATATAAGAAATAACATAGAAACAAACCTTGCCATCAACTTTAACAACACGTTTACCATGACCTGGATATATTTTATATCCACTATAATTGCAAATTTCAAGTCTAAGTAGATAAATATTAATAAAAATAAAGAAATTAAAACAAGATGTGCTGTTTTTTTTTTTTACTTCATGACGGCCCGATCAAGTCGAAGGAGACGTTATTTAAAATAGATCTAAAATATTGAAGAATAAATATACAATAGGGACAAGAATCTGACTAACTTGTTTATGAATGACTAAAACTGATTTTGGAAGCCTAGTCGATATTATATGGATAGCCTATCTGATATTTTATTTTTCAGTTGTTATGAAAAAAGTTTGTATTTATTTTTGATATTATTATCTATTTAGATATTAAATTTAAATTTAATAATGAAATAAAAAAATACGATCAAATTGGATTATTTTTATTTTTAAGTAGTCAAATAACTTTCAGATTTCTAGCGCCATCTATATTTCAGTTCGAATTTCACATTAATTAGTCTATTTTTTTCCCTATATAAATTCATTTACAATAGTGTTGCCAAATCAATTTTGCGACCACATTGTAAAAGACAAAAACAAAAGAAATCAGAAATGGTCTTTGTGTTTCTTCAATTATCTAATATTTATTAATCCGACTGCAACTTCTGTAATAAAGACATGTCAAATATATGTGATGTATCAGTCTTTGTATATTAACGAGAAGAAAAGCAAGATATCAGGAAAAGAAATTGCATGGTATTGCTTTGCGGATGTGCCGTCCATGAAAACAAGAGAAACATTTGCTTTTTTTTATGGATGTCATTACCATGAAGTTAACATGATCGGGTAGTAGTTCAATTTAAACATATTTATAACACTGATTGGTGTAACTTACATACACAGCACTGCGTGAGGATGAGGGCGCTGTGATTAATATGTTTATATTGAACTAGTACCTTGATCGCTAATTTTTGAGTGATTTCAAGGACATGAAAAGTTGTATAGTATTATTCGTATTAATTGTGAATTTTTGCTGAAGTTTTTTCATCTTCTAATACGATTATTTCTTGCTCAGTGGCAATCACTGTAGGTTCTAGTTTTATGGATGATTCCAGAATGGGTAAATCAATTGTTTCTATTTTGTTGATATGATCATTAGATGTGATTAAATTATTTGATTTTCGATAAATATTTTTCGTTGAAGATAAACTTGTATCTATGAATTCATTTCGTTTTGTAATTGCTTCATAATCTTGTATATCATATGTATATTTAATATTATCCTGAGATTTTCTTTTGATAATATTCGAAAGTTTTTTAGTTTTAATATCTGTATGAACTGTTCGTCGTCCAAGAATTATGGCATGTTTCTATTGAAAATTAATCAAACATAATTTTATTTGATTAGAAGAAAAAATAAATAAATCATACAGAATACCGATCACCAACTTGTTTATATTTTCTCGTATCATAAAATGGAACTGTTAGTTCTGAATGTATTTTATATTTTTGTCGTCCGATTTGTGTCCAACCAGATTTACACGGCAATTGTGATTTATCATTAATACTATCATAAGTCATCGGACCTACATAATGATTCATTTCTTTCGAATGATATTTATTTTTGATAGTCCATGTAGGTGAATGAATTTTAATCAGATCATATTTAGGTAAATAAAATGGTATGGAAATATGAGTATTTCGATTGACTAATGGAATAAGCATATTACCCATAGCATCACGTGGATAGATAAATCGAGATGGATCAATATTATGTTTTTGAATAGATTTTATAGATACAATAGCATTATTCAAAGATGTTTGAGTATTTGAAAATAAATACTTTTCAAAACCATTCATAGGACGAACTTTCCATGTATTGATTAAATTTGAAAATATGAAAGTTGATTTTTGTTGTTGTCGTCTCAACTGATGACTATTGAACATTAAAATAAAATATGTATAATAATAAAAGAAAAATCCTAGCAACATAATTTCATTTTTGTTTTTATTCTTTTGAATTATTAATAATCAAAAAAGAAATAATTTTTTACCTAATATAAATATCACTTGTAGTAGTAAAAGTACAACAATCAATAATGCAGTATCAAATGTCTAATACAAAGATAAGAACAAAAGCACCACCATTTTATAGTGTACATGATGATGATTTTTATCATGGTCCAGCATGGGTAATTAAACCAAAAATATTTCAATTGAAAGAAAAATTTATAAAAAAGCCTGGTCCTGGTTATTATCATATACCAGATAGATCTATCTATACTCGACCAGGTAAATAGACAAAAATAAATTTTTCTTTCTAAAGTTTAATAAAGTTTTTGCACAATATATCTGATCAATTTTGGTCTATTGATTAATCACTGAAGAGAATCAACAGTAATCATTTAGAATTAGAATTTCATATTCTCTTCAACTATATATATATAAATTTTTTATATTGCATAGAATTTAATGTTCTATTAAGTCATACATTATAATAAGCGATCATTTGTAAAAGCGAATTCCATGAAAAATTATAGAGCATGAAGTTTTAATTTCTCTTCAGTAAATTAGATGAAAATTGATTAAACATATTGTACGATATCATTAGGTAAAACAATCGGTAGTCGATATGAAACAACTTCACCTATATCAACTAGTTTATTAGCACAGTACAATCCTAATGATCAATATACATCGAAAGTTAACATGTCTGCAATATCTATTACACCACGTCGAATCGAACATAAAAATAAATATAATTATTCCGGACAGTTTTATTTTCCATCACAATCGATATATCATCGTCGAGCTCCTCTTATTCGACCTTTATACGGTCCAATAATTTCACGCAAACTTATACATGATAAATTTCTATCGATTTCACCTGGTCCAGCTGCTTATCCAATGTATGAATTTGATGAAGATATTTTACCACGATCACAACCTGGCTTTGCACAAAAACATCGTTTTTCATCTGACGGAAAAAAAACTACTTCACGTACTTATCCACCTTTTTATTATTCAGATAAAATCGAACGTCATCGGTTACCCTTGTTTACTATTGGCAAACGTCTGTTTACATCGAAAAAAACCAATCCATGTACACCACCTTATTATAAATCATTTGATGACGACAAGTTATGCTCAAGTAGTACACAACCAGGTGTAACATTAAAAGGACGTTGGAATCCATTCATCTATAATGGTATAAATCACATACAGAAAACTATAATTAAACTCACTCAAAATCATCCAATAGTAACCGAACAAAAACATTAACTTTTAACTTGACGTTCTTCAAATGATCTTCAGAAAGTAATCAAGCATATGTTTTAATTTCCTAATATACATTGAGTTATTTCAAAACTCGATGAGATAATCTTGTGATCTCAAAGAATATTTTTTATGTAACTTTGAAAATTTTTTTTTTCTTTTTCTTTTCTAAAGAAACAATAAGTCTCAACTATGACACTAAAATGCACTACGTTTCTCGGTCTAAACTTAAGAGAATGTTTTTTTTTGGCATTGAAGCATAATAGTTATTCTTTATTTGCAACCAATGGTTTATTTTTTTCCTTCTCCGTTCTTCTCATAGTATAGGAAAAAAATCAGCGGAAGAACGAGAAAAACAAAACAACAACCGAAACGTTTCTGATCTATCATATTTTCTAGAGGAAAAGCATGGACCAACACGCAAAAAAAAATAACATTACTATAACTGTAGTGTAAACTGCATGACTTCTTGAATAAATTTTATGATGCTATAGGATTTTTACTGGTAAGAAAAAAAATATACGATGCTTTTCAAACGTCATTCATTATTGAACATTATTATTCATCGATGTTTATCAAAAAAAGGTCCAACTCTTTATGAAACATTGAAAGTTATTGAAATTTCCCCGGATGTTTTTGTTCAACCTGCTGCAACTTTATTCGTATATCCTTATCGTACAAGTGTATTTGGTGGACAAATTGTTGGTTCAGCTATTTATGCCGCTCAAAAAACATTACTTTCAAATCATCCATTACATAGTATTCATTCATATTTTCTTGCAGCAGCTGATAATTCATCTGCAATAACATATACAGTTAAACGATTACGTCAAGGTAAATCATTTGAAGCACGTAGTGTTACAGCTGTACAAGATGATAAAATAGTTTTTGAATCTGAAATGAGTTTTCATCGTAAAGAACAAGGAAATTTAGCACATCAACCAGCCATGCCTAATGTTGGTAAGTTTTCATTTGATATAAAAATTTTAAAAAATAAACAGAAAACAACTATCTATTTTTCATTTTTAGATGTTGTTCCACCTGAAAAACTTCATTCAACAAGAGAACGATTTCGAAGTCTTCTTGATGATAAACGTCTACCGCCTGAATTTCGACCATTTCTTGAATTAGCTCTTGAAATGCCTACACGTATTGATATTCGACATTGTCATCCACGTGATTTACTTACACCTGCACCAGAATGGCCAGCACGACAACTTGTTTGGATTAAAGCCATTGAACGATTACCTAATGATTCACATTTACATCGAGCTGCTATAGCTTATTGTACTGATCGAGTATTATTAACGTCCGCACTTCTTCCCTATGCAATTAATATATTTAGTTCACGTATTCGAATGCAAGTTTCACTTGATCATTCAATGTGGTTTCATGATGATTTTGGTTTTGATCCTACACCTCCATATGATCAAATAATAGATGGACATACTTCAATACCAATTGAACGAAATACTGGTATTCCATCTATTCCACCTAAAACACCAGTACGTGCTGATGATTGGCTACTTTACGAACTAGAATGTCCGATAGCTATGCATAATCGAGCATTAACTTTTGGACGAATATGGACTAGATGTGGACGACTTATTGTAACATGTGCACAAGAAGGTGCTATTCGATGTAATTAATAGTAATCTAAGTCGTACTAAATCAGATGAATGCTTTTTATTATGTTAAAAAATAAATTCTTCATAGTTTATTTAACAATAAGTCGAAATTATTCACAAGAATTTTTTTTTTCTTTATTTTTATTCACTATCAAAAGAGTTAGTTAGTTTAAGAAAAAAATAATAATAATAATTTTACATGATTACGTACAATTTCACTTATTATATATGACCTGTAAATACATGAATACGTCCACCTGAATTTCCACCAACAATTATTGGAAGTGTTCGATGACTTATATTTGTTGTAGCTAATGAATTTAAATTTTCACTACTTAATGATGAAATCTGTTGACAATTTTCATTAAAAATACTTATCTAAATTAATATATCAATAAAAAAAAATTAATTCATAAAAAATAAATGAGAAAAAAATTTACTGTTCGAGGATATTCATTTGATCCAATAAGAAAATAAGATTCAAATATCGGATATGGTTGTGCTGTAAAAGGTGTTACAAAACGATTAACATGATTTCTATGATGAATTTTTTTTATTGGTTGAATATCTAATGGATCCTTTGCATGTTGCATATCATTACATGAAAATGACATTAAATGATCATCACGAGTTGTAGCCATAATATGACTACCTGCTTGATTATAATAAGCTCCATAACATGAATAATTTGTTTGTAAACAATATTTCATAGTTGACATATTTCGTAAATCCCAAACTTTTACACAACTAAACAATTTTTAATAAATAAAAAATAAAAATTTCAAACATTTAATCATACTTATCAGTTCCGGATATACAGAATTCATCTGTTTGCATTGGATTAATATGAAGAGTACGAATACGTTTTTTTGATACATCAAAACGTTCTATCGACACTGGACTAAATAACAATTAATTATTAGCTCAATCCATGGGAAATTAAAATGTAAAACACAATGTAACTATTGTTGCTAATCAAAAGTAGATTGTTTTTTTGTTCTATCTATTTTGGAATACATTTTTTTCATCATCCTTTTACTTAATCCCCCAGAAATGAAATAAGAAAGTAGTTCATATATTATAACGAAACGTTAATCTGTGATATTATATCAACAGCGTCTATGATGTGAGGAACCAAGTTTTTTCTTTGTTCCCAGTCTCGGTCTAAAGAACATTATTTCAGAATTTGTTCGCATCACACTTATAAATGATTCATATAATTAATAAACTATCATTAGAAATCAGGGTTTTACTTTTTAATCGTATTAATGAAAATTTTCTGTGATTTACAATGATTTCTAATAGCTTCTGATAATTTTTAAACATTTCCAGTTATCATAAGTATCCTTTATATGTAATAACGCTTCTAACATGTTTGTCGAGGAATGTATTCATGATATTTTCTGCTCTCATATTATGGGTATAAAACCTATTGCAGAAAAATCATCAGTTTGGCTTTTATGAATGGCAGAATTGTTAAGAAACTAATATTCAATTCTCGTTTTTCCGACAAATTATCATTGCTGGTTGAGAAATACAAATTTCTATCGTGTATACTTCAAAACTCCGTTTAGATTGTGTTTCACAAAAGTTTTTACTTGGCTCGCATATCAGCTAATAATACATCACCATTATTTTCAGAAATTACACAAGTCTGTAATGATCGATAATCAAATGCTGTTAATCCATGATTATCAGGATCTTTAAATATCTAAAATAGTTAATATTCGAATTCATAGTTTCCTATATATATATATAAATAATTTTACTTCAATTGATTGATTTTTTGTTATATCACATGTACGAAATGTTGAATCATATGATGTCGAATTAATAATATTTGAATTAAAATTATCAAAACGACAACATGTGGCGTATTCAGTATGACAATTATAATTAATTTTACACCATGTACCATTCAAATCATCGATAGACTAGAAATAAAAATTTTTATAAATCAACTTTTTTTTTTTCTAAAAACTTTTGATTTACTTTAACAACAAGACCAACTGTACCCTTTCGATCACAACCAATAATAGCTAATATATCTGAACGAGAATGAATATCCATAAATAAAAGACGATCAGGTGTTAATTTAAGAACATTTTCATCAGTTATTTGCAAATCAGAAAATTCATAAATTGATCTAAGAAAATATTTCTATTTTTATTTTTTTATAAAAACATTATGCTTTACTTTTTTGAATCAATTGTTGAATTATTTTGTTCAAAAAATGTTTGAATCTGTTGATTGAGTGCTTCTTGTTCTTCAGGAGTTATTTCAAGCTCTCGTTTATAAGTTTGTCGTCGATAAACTACACTCATAATACTTTGATCCTATTAAAAAATCATAATTTTATTTCAAAAACAATAACAAAAAAATAATATCTATATACTTTAGTGGTATCCATTTCATTATCACTTTCTTCTGGTGATGAAAGTTTATTTCCATGAACATTCATATGTGCAAGACGACGTGATCGTCGAACAGGAACATTTTTCGAAACGGTAATACTAAAAGAATTATTACTGTTGCTTCGAACATTGTAGTATATATTTCAAAGACTATAAACTTTAACGGTCTACTTTCGACATATTACAACTAGCTGATGAGTATGACTTTCATCTGTAATAATTAAATACATTTAACATATATGGGTGCGATCAACTGGGAGGGGACCCCATTTCGATACACTCCTATTGTACGGATAAAACATACTATTGTTCGGGTCATATATGAGAGGATCCTAGATAACCCTGGATTGGCCCGAACAACATCATGTTTTATCCGTACAATAGTAGAGAAAAGCTACCAACTCACACGATAAGCTCGTAGCTTTTCACAACTATTGTGCGGATAAAACATGATGTTGTCCGGG